GTATGCAATGTGTTAATTATTGAAACTGTCCTACCAATTTGGTTTGAAACTGTCTCATTGCTATTTGTTTCTCAATAAAATTATGGGAAAAAATGGGGGGGCAGGTTGATAGCTCAGCGGCATAAATGCCTGCCTGGCAAGCGCAAGATCCTGAGTTTGATTTGGTACCAAAAAACAAAAAAAAAAAAAAAAAAAAAAAAAAAAAAAACCCAGAAACAAAAAACATTTTTTCCTATGGTTCTACCTCCATCCTTTGTTTCCCGCCATCCTGGAACCTTGATATGTTGATAAATTGCCATGTTGGCTTAGCACCTGGATTTCTGTCCTTGAGGAGAACCTAGTAAATTGTCACCTGGAATTTTGTTTTAGCCTGCTTCTAATAGCTATGCTGACAAAAAAGTTTACAACTGAAATTATATGAAGTAATTGTACAATGTTCCTGCAAAACATTAGAAAATACTGTTAATGTTTGATCAGGGGCATTGGCTAAGGAAATGAGCACTAATAATAATATACATCTATCATCTAACATAAAATTAATAATTTCAATATCTGGTATCTTGTGACCTTGGGAACACACTTACTCCTTTCTATAGAAAATGAGCAAACAGAATTCTCGGGGAGGAAAAAAAACGGGAAGTTGTGTCTTCTGCAGATTATATACAACTTATATCCTGAAGTCACTTATACCAAAATTCAAATAAATCAAGCCTGATTACAGAAGGCACTGTTTGTGAACACTTGGCTTTTAATAAGAAGGTTTCTTAACAGTTCCTTTTTTTTTCTTTTCAAAGTTTTATTGATAAACATATAGCAAAACAGTTCCTTTTGAAAACTAGAATTGTTGGCACATGGCCAGGGAAGGAAACCTAGCTCATCTTTCAAATACTGGGCATAGAGTCACTCATTTGGTCTATGAATACTTAATGATTTTCTCTGTGCCCAGTTGTAAGTGAATACAATGCATGAATAAAAATATTTCCTGGTATAAAATGTCTCCCAGTGAACTGAAGAGTATTTTAACATTCTTTTTATGATCTTTCTCAGAAAAAGTACATGTATATGGTAATGCAAAAGTTTATTTACATTAAAATTACATATATCTTTTATTTTTTATATGTATCTTACAAAGCTCAAAAATTTGCCATTGGGCATTTGCATGAGGGAAAATGTAAAGAGGAAAGCTTTAAAAAATTTCATTTAGTAAACCCTGAGAAGCTGGGCCTTAGACAAGCACAAAGGGACCTCTAGTGGCCGAACTGAAAAGTTTTGCCTACTTTACATAGTTGATTATTACCTGCAAAATGCGTTATGGATTAAAAGCGGTTTGGATTTGTCACTGAAATTGAACACCCGCCATCTTTCGTTCTTACAAATGTGCTGCCCAGAGGAGTAAAAGTCTTGCGGGCTCACACGTGAAGGCGGCTTCTCAGAGAGAAAGCGATTCCTTGCTGTCTGGTGTTACAACCATTAACATTTTCCTCTTCCTTTAAAACAATAAAGTGGAGGAAGCGATAATTGAGGAAAAACAGTATTTCTAGGTTTTTCACTTCACCAAGATGGCTTAGTTGCCCATCCTAGGAACTGAAGTGTCCTCGAATGAAGACGCAGACTTTGCAGCAGGGAGACAAGCCCAGCTCAGTATTATTGCCCAGGTGGCCGCACACCCGGTTACCTCTGCGGCGCTGTCCCTGTGTCACTGACAGCTCAAAGACACTATTTAAATGTTGAGGCTTCCACACCAACTACTGATCATAGGCGATATATGTTAAGGGAACATTTATAAAGCACATTTCCTTAGTGTAATTTCTATATGAAGATTTCACGGTGCTCCAGCCCCGGGCCCTGAAGAAGGAAGAACATTTTCCTTTCTACTCCCGCCCTTTCTGCTACCCCTTCAATCTCCTACCCCTTTGGGTCCCTCTAGACATTTTGGAGTTGTGGGGGCAGAGGGCGACTACATCAAAATGATGTCATTCGTGACTCCAACATGGTTTCCATGACGACTATCAAGTATTACACTAGGGTAAGAGGAGGTTCTTTAGCTAGCTTTCTCTCAAGGGTTTCCCAAGGAGTTAGCCACAGACTACCGTGCACTGACGTCTTAGAGGACGCCGGACTTGGATTCTCCAGAACCAACGCTCGAAATAAACACAAGAAGACTTGTCTTCCGCTAGTGGGCAGCGGACTTAGCTTCACGGGATGTCATTGCGAACCACGCCCGCCCTTCGAAGATTTTGAGTGCTTATTGGTTGGCGGGGTCATCACTCAGTGACGTCAACCGAGGAGGCTGAGAGGTGGAGCCGTAGAGGTTTGTCCTCCGGCCCTGCTAGCTGGTGAGCGCGAGAGAAATTGGAAAGGAAGTGGGAGGCCGGCGGCCGTTCTGGGGAGGCCGAGCCCCCGCTGTTTCGGCCTGGGCCGCTCCTGCGTCGTTGTCTCCACTCCCTCGGCTTCTGCCGCGTTACCCTGGCGGCTTCCAGTTCCCACCGCGCTCTCAGCCTACCATTCACCCCTCTCCCGCCGCTCGGCTTGGAAGCCCAGTCTCTATTCCCCCGCCTCTCGCACTTCGCTTCCGAGTTTCCCTTCCGCGCTCCTGCACTTCTTCGTTTCCAACACCCCAGATCACCACTTTAGGGTCATCGTGCCTGTTTCTCTCCCATTCTCCTCCCCAACGAAACCCTCGGAGCCCGCCACCTTGGTCCATCGCACCCCACGCGCGCGAAAGCCGCTGACCGAGGACCGAGGCGCGGTCGGCACCGGCGTGGTGACGAGCCTGCCCGCTGAGGTGACGCGCCCGGACCAGAGTCGTCGCCACGCAGGTCCGGACTTCCCCAGCGCAGCACCGCACCGAGCCCTCTACAGAAGCTTAGCTCAGTGGCCGAGGTTTCCAGCCAGGCGACACCTGGTGCTCTTGGGACCCAGCGCTAAGACCCCTTACCGCCCCTAGCTGAAAAGCGCCAGGGATCGAACCTTCACCCTGAGTTTACATCCCCAGTCCTTTTAAATTTATTTTTCATATCGAGTCTCGCTAACTCGCTGATTTGCCTAGGGTGAGTTGGAATTTGTCATCTGCCTTCAGCCTCCCACAGTGCTGGGATTTTTAGGCCTGCGTCACTACTTTGGGTTTGATTCAGTATATTTAAACGTACAGAGATGGGCATGCTGGCGCAGGATTACAGGCCTGTAATCCCTGCGCTAGGGGAGTTGAGACGAAAGGATCCTGCGAGTTCCAGGCCAGCCTGAGTGATAAAATGAATTAAAGACCAACAGGAACGACATACAGAGATCCTATTTAAAATTAAATAAGCAGTGAGATAGTGAGGTTAAGATTGATAGCCCAAATCGTTTGATAATAACAATAAGCTTTTCTTCTGGATGGTTAACAACCTAAGTTTGCAGACCAAAATTAGAGAAAATGGAGGGATACAAGGAAAGCCAACATTTTGGCCCTAGCCTTCTAAGGTCAATTAAGACTCAGGACATGTGAGAACTTGTGCTGTAACGTCATGTACCTCGGTAGTGTCCCAAATTTTCTGATCAAGAAGATTATGGGGCCAAAGAGGAAAGTGATCGATGACATAGAGTGGGCCTAAGGAGAGTCACATGGGGAGAAGATACTCTCTCAGGCTTACACAGAGAGCACATTGGCCAAGCATTGGCCGTGACTCATCCACATGGCTGCACTGATAAAGGTTCTACAATCTGAGGTACAGGATCTCAGGACAAATCCTGAGGGCATTTCACTGACCTTCTCAGACCAAAAAGCTACAACTCTTGTTGCATAGGTCCTGCTTTACCTTGGTCTTAACCATCCAGCAGAAAAGTATGAAGACGAAATTATAAGAAATAAAGCCATGCTGTTAAGTTGAGCTGTGGGGGACTCAGGTCAATAATTTCTGACATTGCCAGTTAAACAGAAGACCCAATGCTATTATGGGCTACTGGACTCTTAGAATATTTTGCTGAATTTACACACCTATAATATTCAATAACGGAACTTAGAAAAAATGAGGTATGCAGATGAATGTCCATTTTGTATCTGTGTATTCAAAGTGGTTGGGATAGATATATAGTTACATTCTGTTAATGAATAGAATGATTTGTTCTAATGGTGTTTGTAAATAGGATCACAAGTCCGCATCTTGTACAGCAATTAACCACTAAGAAGAATATATGCAGTGTATTATTTGTTGAAAAATAAAAAAAATAATAAATAAAAAAAGACAAAAAAAAATAAATAAATAAAATTAAATAATAAATCGATAACCTCGGCTGAGGCTCTGGAGAATTGCTAGTTCTGGAAATTTGCTTACCTGTAGTGAGCGCCATGTGTATCTTCATTGCTCCATAAATGAGATCAGTGAATACTTTTGGGCCTTAGGATTTGTGGTAGCTTGGCCCACTACGGAAAAAGCTGACTGAAAACAAAACCAAGGTATTTGCTTTCTAACTATATTCTTACGATACAGATAGGAATGTCTTTCTCATCCTCCTAAATATTGGGCAACCATTCAAGTTAGATTATTAGATACTATGAACCAGAAATAAAAAGGTCCCTTTTTTGGCGGTACAGGGGATCAAACTCAGGACCTTGTGCTTGCCAGACAGACACTTATGTCGCTGAGCTATACTCCCCAGCCCTAAAAATGTCTTTGGAGGCCATGTTGTCATCATGAACATCATTATTTTACAGATCATTTCTATGCAGTGGAATCTCCAAGAACAATTTTCAAATCCAGAGGTAAGAAAATACTACTAATGATTGTTGAAAATAAATATTAAGAATATTGTGAAAAAAAAAAGAATATTGTGCACTTTGAATATGCAAATTTTCTACCTATGCAGTGGTTAAATCCTGATCTTTTAGCTGATTTTTAAAAAACACTAAATTGTTTACTTCTTTTACCTAGGTCTCCGTGTTGATTAATTAAGACAAAAATAAATATGGCCTACAGTTGTAATTCAGTCTTGGCAATAGCCTGTATGAGGTAAGCATCATCAGGATGGACACACACACGCACACACATACACACACACACACACACCAGGTGTATGTATATGTTTTGTTTTGTTTTGTTGGTACTGGGAATCAAACACAGTACCTTGTACTTTCCAGGTGGGCACTGTGCTGCTGAGCTAGATCTCTGGCCCAATATATATGAACTTCATTTTCCTGATGGAAAATTGGCTTAGAAGCTGCTTAAAACTTTGCTGGTTTTAACTTTTTAACTTTTTTTTTTTCAGAACTGGGGATTTTTAAAATTTTTTTTTAAATTTTTATATTTTTTATGGTCAGCTCAGCCCACCCTGAGGGCGGGCTGTTATGGCATGTGGTGCTGGGGATCGAACCGAGGTCCCTGCATACTTGCCTAAGCTTGCCTAAGTAGGGGCTTTAGACCACTGAGCTATCTCACCAGCCCAGAACTGGAGATTGAACTCAGGCCCTTGCGCTTGCCAGGGAAGCGCTTATTCCACTGAGCCATCTCCCTGGCCTTATGCCAATTCTTAGGGAGCTAATTTTTTTTTTCTTTTGGTGATACCGGGGATCAAACTCAGGACCTTACACTTGCCAGGCAAGCACTGTGTTCCACTGAGCTATCTCCCCAGAAGGGAGCTAATATTTGAATGTATTTAAAATTACATAAAGGGCTGGTGAGATGGCTCAGTGGTCTAAAGCACCTACTTAGAACAAGCTTAGCAAAGCACAGGGACCTCGGTTCAATCCCCCAGCACCACATGCCAGCCAGCCCCGCCCCCTGGTGGGCTGAGCTGGCCACACACACACACACACACACACATAAATTTTAAAAAAATAAAATTATATAAAATTTCCTATATGCTTTAGAATTCAAGCTGAGTCATTTTCTAGATATATGGTACAGATAGGATAAAAGATTTAATGGTTAAAAAGGTTTAATGGTTTTAGAGTGATGTCTATGTTGCTGATACATATCATATGAGGCCCTTAGAAGTAAAAAGTAGTAAAATGGCTAGTGAGCAATTCCTGTCCCATCAAAGTCTATCATCACTTATTTATTTGTTTGGAAAACTATTCACAGAGAACTTACTGTGCCAGATTCATTGTACATTCTCCCTTTGTTGTGTTTTTTTAAAAATTTTATTTATTTATTTATTTGTGGGGGGGTGCTGGCTGGCATGTGGTGCTGGGGATTGAACCGCGGTCCCTGTGCTTTGCTAAGCTTGTTCTAAGTAAGTGCTTTAGACCACTGAGCCATCTCACCAGCCCTACATTCTCCCTTTGAGCCCAAGAATGTTTTTTTTTATCTTGGCATGCTTTAAAAATAGGTTGTGAAAATGGAAAAAGCAAACATCTTTTTGCCAAAATAAATCTCTTTGCCAGTAACCTTTTTTTTGCCTGGATTTTTAATTTTTATTTACAATTTGAGATGCCAGTTTAAATGAAGGTTGTGGACTATTGCAGTGTTAGAAGGTAGAGCTCCTTGGCTAGTGTGCTCAGTTCTTATTCTTAGTGTTCTTAAGGAATTTTTAAGTGGAAGGATATTTTGATTAAAAGTTATTCTCATTTGATGTGTTTTGTTTTTGTTATGTTTTATTTTTTAGACAGGATCTTGCTATGTAGTACAGCCTGGCCTTGCGCTCACTTTGTTGCCCAGGCTGGCCACAAGCTCATGGTGATCCTCCCATCTCAGCCTCCCAAGTGCTGGGATTACAGGTGTCCACCACCACGGCTGACTATTCTTATTTGAGTGTATAGACACTACATGGACAAAGCAGTATTGTGTGGTTTGTTAAGCTCTACAAGAACCGTGAAATGAGTAGAATAAGCGCAAGGGCCTGCGTTCAATCCCTGGTTCTGCCAAAAAAAAAAAAGAAGAAGAAGAACCGTGAAATGTTTCATTAAAACATACATATAATCAGTAGTGTGGCTATAAACACAAATCTTCCTCTTATTTTATCATAGTTGATAAAATTAATACTGTAATCCCTAGCAGAAACATGTTTGCTAGGTTTAAAAATGAATAACTGGTTAAAAAAAAAAAACAAACAGATGGAGAATAGCTGACTTATAACATAACACTTTGTTCTTTTTTAGTTTAGTTTTTTTTTGCAGAAGCAGAGATTGAACTCAGGCCCTTGCACTTGCCAGGGAAGCACTTATTCCACTGAGCTAGCTCCCCAGCCCCTATTTTATTCTTTTTTAAAAATTTATTTATTGTTTGATACAAGGTCTCACTCATAATTCAGACTTACGTGATCCTTCTGTCTCAGGCCCCCCCCCACCCCGTGCTGGGATTACAGGTGTGTGCCACTCTACCTGCTTCTGGGGCCAGCACATGCAGTACCAGGTATCAAACTTGGTGGGACCTTGCACTTGTCAGGCAGGTGCTTATACTGCTGAGTTATCTCCCCAGCCCAGAACATTAATGTGTGCTGAGTGTCATGGTGCCTGCCTATAGTCCTAACAATTGGAAGGCTGAGGCAGGAAGATCACCACAAATTTAAGGCTAGGCCAAGCTCCATAGTAAAAAAAAAAAAGAATATAATATCTTACATAGAGCATGTTCAACTATAGAATATACTGCTTTTCAGTGGGATATATAATTATATAATTATATTTGGGATTGGTAGTGTAGTTCAGAGGGTATAGCGCATGCTTAGTATGTGTAAAGCCCTGGGTTCAATCCCCAACACCATCCCCCACAAATGTTTATGTGTATATTTACATATTATTTGTTCATTAATGAACATTAGCTATTTATAGTAAAAAAAAAAAACACATGATTTTCTTTTACCCGATAAAGTCTCTGTTTAAGTTTGAAATAGCACATGTTTGAGTCTGAGGACTTTGCTCTTTATCCCAGGTTCCCCAGCCCTTTTGCCCTGCGCATGTGCCACTCTCCTTCCCCATCACTTGCACTTCTTCACCTGCCAGATCCTTACTTGAACAAGACACATGGAAAGCACTACAGGAGCAAGAGGCACTCTTATCCCAGTTGGGCGGGCATGGCAGCACTTCCAGTCCGAACTAGACTCGAGCAAAAGCTGCATACCTCAGCTTCCTGGTTACAACAGGGCTCTGGGGAGCCTCCCCTGGAGCAAACCCCAGAAAAACCCAAGGCATCAAGTCCTCAGCCCACAGAAGACACTGGGACGAAGATTAAAGAAGGAAAACGATCTTATAGACAAAAAATTGTGGATGAACTTAAGTATTATTACAATGGATTCTACTTACTTTGGAATGACACCAAAGTTGCTGCCAGAATGGTGTGGAGACTGCTGCATGGACAGGTGCTGACCAGGAGAGAGAGACGAAGGGTAGGTGAGAACTATGTCTGAGCAAGGAACTGTGAAATTAAAATGCACTCTCTGGGAAGCCTCCATCTTTAATCCCAGCATTTGGAAGGCAGAGACAGAAAGATTTTGAGTTCAAGGGCGGCCTAGGTTATGTAGAGAATTTAAGGCCAGCTAAGTTGTGCGACCTTGTCTCAAAATAAGTAGATAAATAAAAAAAAAATCAGAGAACTAAGACTTAAACTCCAAGTTCATCTTAAAAAGCACCAATAGTGGCACCCACTTAGCTATTCCAGAGGCTGAGGCAGAAGGATGGCAAAGTGGAGGCCAGCCCGGGATATTTAGGAAGGCTCCGCATCAAAATAAAAACAGAAATCTGAGGAAGTAGCTGAGTGCTTGGCTATCATCCGTGGGTCCATGTCTTCAATCCCCAGGCCTGAAAAATAAAATAAAATAAAATAAAATCTAGCTTTCCTGGTGTTCTCAAGGTCCTGGATTTGAACCTCAGCAACCTGCTACCCTAAAGTAGGAATGTAACTACTGGTGAGGACCAGAGGGTTTTTTGTTTGGTTTTTTATTTTGTATAGTGCTGACGATGAAGCTTGGCCTTGCTCATGCTAGAAAAGAGCTCTACACAGAGCCATACCTAGACCCTCAAGAGCAATTATTATTACCTATAAAATGGTATCTTGCTGTGTAGTTCAAGCTGGGCTTAAACTCACTATGTAGCCTATACTGGCCTTGATCTTGTGGCAATCCTCCTGTCTCAGCCTACTAATTTCTAGAATGATAGGCATGTGCCACTATGCCCAGCAGTTATATTTCTTAAATCTCTCCAAGGAGCTGAAAGGCTTCAGATTTTATGTTAATCAGAAATACAAAGTTGTTACTACATTAAGCATTCGTGTTTTTTTTAAAAAACAATTTTTAGGGGCTGGGGAGATGGCTCAGTAGAATAAGCACATTCCTGGCATGCGGAAGGACCTGAATTCAATCCCCGGTTCTGCCAAAAATAAAAACAAAATTTTTTAGTCAGGCATGGTGTTTGTTGCCTGCCTATAATCCCAGCACTAAGTAGTCTGAGGATGGAGGATTGCTTTGAGTTTGAAGCCAGTCAGGGCTATGAAGTGAGTTCATCCCTGAACTGGGTAGTGAAACCCTATCTCAAAAACACAAAAGAGGGACCCGGGGAAATAGCTCAGTAGAATAAGCGCTTGCCTGGCAAGCTCAGGGTCCTGAGTTCAATCCCCAGTACCATAAAAAAAAAAAAGATGCTGACTCAAAGGCACAAAAGAAAACAACAAAAAAACAAAAAAATAATTTTCAAAGCCAAATAGTAGTATGCACCCACAGTCTCCAGTACTATAGGGAGGATGAGGCTGCATAATCAGTTGAGTGCAGGAGTTTGAGACCAGCCTGGGCAACATAGTGAGACTATCTCATACTCTGTTATTTAAGTAGAGCCCCTCATTTGATGGAAGCTAAGAGATGTCAATATTTTGACTGTCACAGATTTCCTTAAAGATTACCCCATAAATTCTACTTTATAGACATGGTGAAGCAAAGTTCCACCTTTTCCTTTTATAAACCCATTTTGTATTTACATTTTAAGAACTAAAGCAGGTGCTGGTGAGATAGCTCAGTGAACTAAGCACCTGCTTAGGCAAGCACAGGGACCAGAGTTTGATGCCCAGCACCACATGCCTTGCAGGTCCTGCCCCAAGGCATGCTGAGCTGGCTACTGAGACTGGGTGTGGTGGTGCATGCCTGTAATCCCAGTGCTGGGGAGGCTGAAAACAGGAGGATCACTATGAGTCTGAGCTGCGTAGTGAGACCCTGTACCAAATACATTTTTAAAAAAAAGAACCAAGGCAGACTTTTTTTTGCATGTCTTAAAATAATTAAGTATTGTTTATGCATTTAATTCTTCAGCTGTTGAGAACCTGTGTTGATTTCTTCCGTTTGGTTCCATTCATGATATTCATAATTGTACCCTTCATGGAATTCTTGATACCAGTGTTTCTGAAACTCTTCCCAAATATGTTGCCGTCAACTTTTGAAAGTGAATCCAAAAAGGTATGCAGAATTTTTAGTTTTTTTTTTAAATTAATAGGAGTTCTTTTTCAGCTCAATTTTAAGTTCACAGAAAATACAGAGCTCTGGTGCACTGTTGTTATCTGCCATACCCAATTTCCCCTGTGATTAACATTTTGCATCTGTGTGGTACATTTGTTACCACTAAAGAACCAATACTGATATGTTATTATCTGCTTGTCTGTGACATTCGGGTTCCTTCTTTGTGGCTTACAGACCTGTGGGTTTTATAATGTATAATGTCACGTATCTGCCTCATGAGTCTCAGACACTGGGTGGTGGCTGTGGTCTGGAAGCAGGCAGAGCATGGGGTAGGGCTGCTGAGTTGTGCAGGCAGACACTAGGTAGATACTACAGCTCTCCAGTTAGGCTGGGTAGAGGCTGCCAGAGCAGGCCCAACACCAAGATTAAATGTAACGGCTAGAAAACAAGGAAGTATCACTAGAATTATGTGAACATGGACTCTAGGACTGCAATCATGATTGTGATATTAGGGGACCAGCAAGGAAATGGACAGGGCCACGGGTAAATTCTATTATCCTGATATACCATGGTTTATCTACCCATCATCCACTGAATGTATAGCATCTTGGTTCCTTCCAAGGTTTTTCCATTTGGTTTGGTTTGTTTGTTGATTTTTGTCTTTTTGAGACAGGGTCGCACTATGCAGTTCATATTGGCCTTGACCTCTGTAGCCCAGGCTGGCTTCAAACTCACAGCCTTGCCTCCACCTTCTGAGGCTGGGATTACGGGCATATGGCACTATGCCTGGGTACTTGCAAGTTTTTGATTTTATAAAAGAGAAGAAAAAACAAAAAGAAAAACAAAAAGAATGAAATAGAGTTCCAATACAGGATATTAGGAAATTAACAATGATTATATTGCATATTGCTATCTTGAAAGTAGTTGCTCAGGGGCTGGGGAGATGGCTCAGTAGAATAAGCGCTTCCCTGGCAAGCACAAGGGCCTGAGCTCAATCCTTGGTTTAAAAAAAAAAAAAAAAGAAAAGAAAAAAAGTAGTTGCTCAGATTACAAGGTTGCAAAATTGATCAAACAGTATAAGCACAAAGTGTTCCTTTCAATGAACTAATAGAAGTTAATAGTGTAATTACCTTAGCTATCTTGTGTGTATACATATTTTTTTCTTTTCCATTCTTTCTTTTTTCCTTTCATCCATCTCAGTTGTTTCTTTCCTTCTGAGCATTTTCTTTTTTTGCTTTTTTTTTTCGGTGGGGGGGGGGGACTGGGAATTGAACTCAGGCCCTTGAGCTTGCCAGGGAAGCACTTATTCTACTGAGCCATCTCCCCGGCCCCCTGAGCAGTTTCTGTTCCTTTCACAATATCTATAGTACCTTTTTTTGGGGGGGGGGGATGGGGTTCTTTTTGAGACAGGATCTCACTATGCAGTTCAGGCTGGCTTTGAACTCACTTTGTAGCCCTGGCTCCTCTCCAACTCTCAGTCATGCTCCTGCCTTAGTCTCTCAAGTGCTGGGATTACAGCCTTGTACCACCCTGCCTGGCTGTATTGTACCTTTTAGATCTTACGTACTCTTTCCATTTCTTACGTTAGGGAGACGGTATGATGTTTACACATGTGAGTCTGGTTTATTTCACTTGTGAGTATAGTCTGTAGTTGAATACACTTACCAATCAAAACCTCAAGTTTATCCTTATTTATAGCTAAGTATAAAAATACTCTTTGTATAAAAATTGTATAATTGTAAAAATTATATTTATACCATTGTTTAAGAATTGTAGGGGGGCTGGGGAGATGGCTCAGTGGAATAAGCACTTCTCTGGCAAATGCAAGGACCTGAGTTTAATCACTAGTACTGCACACTGTGTCAGCCTTGGAAGCTGAGGCACACCGTGCCAACCACTAAAACCAGGCGTGGTGGCGCACACTTCTCTGGCAAATGCAAGGACCTGAGTTTAATCACTGGTTCCGCAAAAAAAAAAAAAAAAAGAATTGTAGGAAAATATACCATTTATTCATGTATACCACCACTGTATAAAAATACCACATCTTAGGGGCCGAGGAGATAGCTCAGTAGATTAACTGTTTGCCTAGCAAGCACAAGGGCCTGAGTTCAATCCCCGGTAAAAAAAAAAAAAAAAGAATCTTTTTTATCCATTCCTCCGTTGATGGGCATTCTAAATTCTTTTCAAGATTTAGTTATGACAAATTGTGCTGTTCTAAACATGGGTGCATATATATCCTTGTGGTATGATTTTAATTCTTCTAGAAAAATACCCAGAAGAGGAATAGCTGAGTCTAATGGGACCTCTAATCCTAGTTTTTTGAGGTGTATCCACACTGATTTCCACAGTGGTTGTACCAGTCTTCACTCCCACCAACATGCAGAAGGATTCCTTTTTTCCCCACAGCCTTTGCCAGCATTAGTTATTGGTTGATTTTTTTGATGTTAGCCATTCTTTCTGTGGTGAGAAAGGAATCTTGGTGTTATTTTAATTTGCATTTCTTGAATGACCAATGATGTTGAACATTTATCATAAACTTATTTGCCATTTGTATTTCTTCATCTGAGAAGTGTGTGTTCATCTCAGATGCCCATTTTTGGATTGGGTCTTTGAATTTGGGGGGGCCTGATTTTTTTCAGTTCTTTGTATGTTCTAGATAGAAGTCCTTTGTCTGATGGACAGTAAGTTGGCTAAAATTTTTTCCCAGCCTATGGGTTTTCTTTTTTTCTGTTGCATCTTCTAATTGTTGCATGATCCTCATGTCTGTTTTTTCCCCCCCCAGTACAATGCTGATTTTATCATAGTAGTCTTGTAGTATAGTTTCAAGTCAGAGATTGTAATGCCTCCTGCTTTGCCTTTGTTGCCCAGGATTGCTTTTGCTATTCTAGATCTTTTCTGGTTCCAAATTAATTTTAGGAATGTTTTCTCTAGATCTGGGAAGTATGATAATGGTCCTTTAAACATGGTTGCATTAAATGTATATACCAAACTTAGGGAAGTATGGCCATTTTCACAATGTTGGTTCTTCCTATGCATGAGCAAGGGATGTCTTTCCATTTTCTGATATCCTCTTAGATCTGCTTTTTTAAAGTACTGTAATTTTCAATGTATAGATCTTTTACTTCTTTTGTGAGATTGATTCCTAAGTATTACATTTTTGGGGGGTGCTATTGTGAAGGATGTTGTTTCCCTAATCTCTCTCTTGTCAGTGAGTTTGTTGTTCATGTACAAGAATGATACTGATATTGAGTGTTGACTTTGTATCCAGCTACACTACTGGATTTGTTTATTCTGGAAGTCTTTTGGTGGAGCTTTTTGTGGTCTGCTATATAGAGTATCATGTCATCTGCAAATAATGATTTAACTTATTCCTTTCCTATCTTTATTCCTTGTATTTCTCTTTCTTGTGTAATTGCTCTGGCTAATGTTTCCACAACTATATTGAATAGGAGGGTTTTTTAAAGAAAATGTATTTAGGGGCTGGTGAGGTGGCTCAGTGGTCTAAAGCACCTACTTAGAACAAGCTAAGCAAAGCACAGGGACCGCAGTTCAATCCCCCAGCACCACATGCCAGCCAGCCCTGCCCCCTGGTGGGCTGAGCTGGCCACACACACACACACACACACACACACACAAAATAAATAAATAAACAAATAAAAAAAATAAAAAAATGTATTTAGTACAGGGTCACTACACAGATTGGACTCATCGTGATCATAAAGAGTTAAATTGAACTCACGACCTTGTGCTTGCCAGGCAGACACTGTGCTGCTGAGCTACATCCCTGGCCCTTTCGTATGTTTTCTTTTCTTTTTTTTTTTTTTCTGGCAGAACTGGGGATTGAACTCAGGCCCTTGTGCTTAACAGGCAAGCACTTATTCTACTGAGCCACCTCCCCAGCCCAAAGAACTGAGCTAAGGTGCAGGCCCCCCATATGTTTTCTTTGGAAAGATATCTATTCATATTTCATTTGTTAAGTGATTTGTTTTAGTTTTGTTTTGTGGGTGTTTTTTGTATGTTTTGGATAAAAGTCTTTTTTTTTTTCATTGTGTAAAAATGCCACATCTTTTTCAACCATTCCTCAGGTGATGGGCATCTTGGTTGTTTCCAAGATTTGGCTATCAAAAATTGTGCTGCTATAAACATAGGCAAGCATATATCCCTATGATAGGATGTTTTCAGATCCTCCGGGAAAATTCCCAGGAGAGGAATAGCTGGTTTAAATGGGATTTCCAGTCCAAGTTCTCTAAGGAGTCTCCACACTGATTTCCATAATGGTTGCACTAGTCTACATTCCCACCAGCCCTGGAGAAGGGTTCCCTTTCCCCACAGCCTCTCCAACATTTGTTGTTGGGTGATTTCTTTATGATAGCCATTCTTTCTGGGTGGATAAAAGTCTTTTATCAGCTATGTTTTACCAATAATTTCCTAGTTTATGGTATGGCTTATCTTTTTGTTCATTAAAGAGTGCCTTTACGGAGCAAATACTTGTAAGGAAACCCAACTTGGCAGTCTTTTTCCCTTTCATCCTTGTGCTTTTGGTGTTGCAACTGAAAGCCTGTTGTCAAACCCAAGGTCACCTTCCCTTTTTACCTGTTTTCTTCTAGTTTTACGGTTTCATATTTTATAGTTAGGCTTATGATCTATCGAGGATTTTTTTTTTCCTTTTTCTTTTTGGTTAGCTCAGGCTGCCTTAAGGGTGGGTCTGGTGCGGCTTGTGGAGCTGGGGATCGAACCAGTCCCCTGTGCCTGACTGAGTTTGCCCAAGCAGGTGCTTTAAACAACTGAGCTAACCCATAAACCCCCTTATGATCTATTTAGATGATTAGAAGTTTGTTGTTGTTGTTGTTTTTTTTTTTTAAATGGGAATTGAACTGAAGTACTTATGTTTGCCAGACAGGTGCAGTAGTTAATTTTTGTGGAAGATGTAATGTGTGAAAAAAAAAGATGTAATGTCAGTGTCTAAATTGTTTTGGTATGTGACTTTCAAGTTTTACCTGCACCATTTATTGAAAAAGACTATCACTTCTCCACTAAAGCATAAGTATAAAACAAAACAAGGAAAAACGAAGAGTCATTGTTAATATGGTGACTAATTAGACAATAGATGTGATTTTTTTGAGCCAATCAGCCCCTTCAGTGCTTGTGCACAGTCCCTGAAAAGAGGGCGCATGGGTGGCCACTGTGAAGAGGGTGGGCTAGAAAACAAGCAGTTATGTTTCTTCTCTTCTGTGTCTCCCTACTAGACAATACTATGAAAGTCTGAATAAAATACTTTTAGTGAGTTTTTATTTTCTTTTTGAGGAACCAGGGATTGAACTCAGGCCCTTGTGCTTGCCAGGAAAGCGCTTATTCTACTGAGCCATCTCCCCGGCCCTTATAAAATACTTTTAGAGGACAAAGAGTACAACTTTTTAATCACTAAGACTAGGAAATGTTTCATGGAAGAGGTAATTTTGGAACCATGACTTAAAGAGTGGATGGAAGGGCTGGCCAGATAGCTCAGTGGACTAAAGTGCCTGCTTAGGCAGGTACAGGGACCAGCTTGGATCCGTGGTGTGCTATGCTGGCCCTGCCCCTGGGGCTCACTGAGACAGTGAGTAAGACTGGGCATGGTGGCGCGTGGCTGTAATCCCAGCGCATGGGAGGCTGAAAACAGGAGGATCACTACAAATCCAATCTGTGTAGTGAGATGCGGTAGAACCTGTACTAAATACATAAGATAAAATTTTAAAAAAGAAAGAGTGAATGGAACTTATGGAATTTTACCAGTCTGTAAAAGGTGCTCTGGATAAAAAGAAGAATGCTTAGGATGGCATAATGGTGTAAAAGACAATAACACAGTCTAGCACTACTGATCTGCTCATGCTTGGAGGTAGGAATAGAAGGAGATCAGTGGTGGGAGAAGAAAACTTAAAAAATAGACCAATTGGGGAAAAAAAAATAGACCAATCAGTTTCTGTTTCTGTCTACACCCAAGTGTCCTGACCATGGTTGTTTTGAAAATGACACCACACTGCATTTTTTGATGATGAACAGGGATTCAGAAGCACTGGTCACTCTTGAGAATGAACATTTAATTCTCTTCTGTGTAATGCTTTTTTTATTACCTATTATGTCACTTAAATTACTGTATTGTATTTAATTCAGTTTTTTTCTTCTTAAACTGTAAGCTACTTTAGTAAAAATTGATATCCTACTTTGTGATACTGATCGAACCCAGAGCTTTGCACATAATAGGCAAACTGTTGCACTCCACCACTGAGCCATATCCCCAGCAGATTTTTCACTTTGTTAAGTAAAATGCAGGACTACTTAGCAAGGGGTTTGGTCAGGTGGCAGTCTAGATGGTTTGTATGAGACTGGTAGATCTTTAAAAATAATGAAAAAGCCTCTCATTCAGGTGACATTTTTTATCTAGCCCATGCTTATAATCATTGTAGTTATGAGAAACAAATTCAGATTAGAAAATGAATTTCAAATAGAGTATTTTATATTGCTTTTGGTTCTCACAAACCCACTTAAATGTGAAGACTATACAGTATATGTTATAAGGATGAGCAGTAATAAGATAACAATTATTTCTCCTGTCTCTACTTAGATGCAGTCATAAAGAATTAACTTTTCCTTTCTACCACTAAGGAAGAAAAACAGAGAAAGAAAATGGCTGCAAAGTTGGAACTAGCAAAATTTCTTCAAGAAACAATTACAGAAATGGCCAGGAGGAACAGAGCCAAGTTGGGAGAGGCCTCTACACAGCTGTCATCCTATGTAAAACAGGTATCTGTCTTTTACTTTGTACCAAACAAATTCTGGGCTGGAATTGTATGAAGTGCATGTCTCCATGGATCTTCCAGATTGCTCACAATCTTTGAAACTGTAAAATCCAAAATCATATGTTCATGATATATCTGGAATTGAACTCAGGACCTTGCGCTTGCCAGGCAGGGGCTGTGCCACTGAGCTATATCCTCAGCCCTATTTATGATACTTAAACATTTAACATTTTAAGCATAGTAGTCTGCAAAAGAGGCAACCTTAAAACAATCACTGTGGGGGCTGGCGAGATGGCTCAGTGGTCTAAAGCACCTACTTAGAACAAGCTTAGCAAAGCACATGGACCGCGGTTCAATCCCCCAGCACCACATGCCAGCCAGCCCTGGTGAGCTGAGCTGCACACACACACACACACACACACACACACACACACACAAATAAAATAAATAAATTTAAAAAAAAAATCACTGTGTTTGCTGGGTGTGTTGGTGCATGTCATAATCCTAGCACTAGGGAGGCTGAGGCAAAAAGATCATGAAGAGTTTAAGACAATCCTGGACAACATAGTTCAAGGCCAGACTGAACAGTGAGATCCTTTCTCAAAAAAATTGTGTTGAAGAGAATGGTAAATTCTTAGAAAGAATGGTCATACTTTTGAACTATTTCTGATTTTTCCAATGTTTTAGTTTAACTTCAGATTTCTTGTGTGTGTGTGTGTGTGTGTGTGTGTGTGAGAGAGAGAGAGAGAGAGAGAGAGAGAGAGAGAGAGAGAGAGAGAGAGAAGAATTGAACTCAGGACCTTGAGCTTACCAGGCAGGTGCTCTGCCACTGAGATATATCCCAGCCCCAGATTTCTTTACTCCTCTTTGAACTTTTTGTTTTTTCTTTCTTTCTTTAAATGTATTTAGTACAGGGTCTATAGGGTCTCACTACACAGATCAGACCTGAGGTAATTCTCCTGTTTGAATTCAGCCTCTCAAGCGCTGAGTGCTGAGCTGTCTGGCTGGCTCTGAACTACATTTCCAGACTGCAAATAGAGCCTGTAACTGCTCTGACATTTCTTTCCATTAGTCTTGTGGAAAGGCTATGGGACGTAAGCAACACATGTTAATTAGCCTCTTTGTCTCATTGCCTAGGTCCAGACAGGCCACAAGCCCAGCACAAAAGAGATTGTTCGCTTTTCCAAACTCTTTGAGGACCAGCTGGCTCTGGAGCAACTAGATCGGCCTCAGCTAGTTGCCCTTTGCAAACTGCTAGAATTGCAAACCTTTGGAACCAACAATTTGCTTCGCTTTCAGCTTCTGATGACCTTGAAGTCTATAAAAGCAGATGATAGAGTAAGAGTTTAGCTGTGGCTTCCAGGGAGGCCCAAGGGACTTGGAGGGGTGCTTTTCTCACAAAGAAGAGTGTTCTCTGTTGGGTCCTTTCAGGAACTGATTGTGGCAAGATGAGTGGTTTAAACAATCACTGCCAGGATGACTGGCATCTTGCTTACTCATCTTAGGAAATGTCTGTTGTGCTGGGAACCATTTCTTTGAGAAGGCCACTGTAACAGTGCTTTGGATATCTTGGCTAGGACTAATCTAAGGCAGTTAGGATTTGCTGGGAAGGAAGTAGCAAAGTGGTGAAGTACCCACACATGTGCCCCCCTACCACAGAGCTGGTGCCGAAGTTAATATTCTGTTGGATGAGTTGGCCTGCTAAGAAGAGTCTGGCAGAGCACAATGCTGGGGAAAAACAGCCCAAATGTGTTATGGATGGCACCACTTTGGACTATAACTAGTAATTAGACTCCTTTAAAAAATGGAAAGGAGGGGCCGGGGAGATGGCTCAGTAGAATAAGTGCTTCCTTGGCAAGCACAAGGGTCTGAGTTCAATCCCTGGTTCCACTAAAAAAAAAAAAAAAAAAAAGGAAAGGATGTTTTTTTCCAATCTAAACCAGCTGCTATACAGCATTTTACCTGAGGGTTCCTGTCTCCCAGATCTGCGAAGACATGATCCCATTGGCCTCATTTGGGTTTCAGATTTTGCTTTCAGAACTTTGGCATAACTACAGGTCCCAGGAGAACAGTAGCTTTGGGTCACACCAAGCAGAAACTACAGTTATTTATGTAGGGAGTTTTGGGGACCAGAGGGGCCATTCTTGCCTGATGTAAAGGTGGGGGCAGTGGAGTAAAATCAGCACTGAGACACCCAACAAATTCTACCTTGAAAGCTTTTCAAGTGCAAATCTTGTAGTGAATTGTAAAGATGCTGTGCTATACAAGGGAAGAGATGTGACAACCAGGCAAAATGCAAATCAAGAGGGGAAATACTTTGTCAGTAAAATGTTGGGAAAGAGATATCTAAATATCTCTACTATTAATATCTGATAACAAGATTCCTTGCATCTCAACTCTCACTTGCCAAAGTCACCTTGTATTTTAGGGTCTAGGCCTGTGAAAGAGTCAGTGAAGAAAACAGAAGGTCCAAGCAATAGATTCTGGACTTCTACTGAATTGTTAGAATGTAGCAATGGGGTAAAATTAGAACCAGAGGATCTGACCCTGTCCCTTACGTTTCTTGCAGATAATTGCCAAAGAAGGGGTGAAAGACTTGAGTGTGTCAGAACTGCAAGCTGCCTGTAGAGCCCGAGGCATGCGGTCCCTGGGCCTCACTGAGGAACAACTGCGACAACAGCTCACAGAGGCAAGCCAGCCATACCTCGCCCCCCTCCCAGGATTCTTTTTAGTGACTTGCTGACCTTGTTTTTCATTCTACTTCTGAAATGTGTTAGACAGCTTTCTGTTGCTGTGACAAAATGCCCAGGAGAACACATTTATTTGGGCTGATAGTTTTTTTGAGGTTTCAGTCCATGGTTGCTTGGCTCTGATACTGTGACCTATAGCAGCACAATACATCAGGGCAGAAATGCGTGTCAGAGAAGACCTCTTCCATTTGTGGTGGCCAGAAGCAAAGAAAGAGGAAGAAGCTGGGCCAATATTCCAATGTCACTGCAAAAACATACCCCAGTGAGGTCATGTCCACCTGCTAGGTGCTGCCCCCTAGGGCCCTGCCACCAAACCTGCAGTGCACAGACCTTTAGATGTTTAAGGTCTGAACCATAGTACAAGTAAACCATTTTACCTAATTTACCTTATTTCATTGAAAAAGATAATTTATTTTGCATTTTGACTTGGATGGGACACTGTATTAGTTTTTATTTATTTTTTCTTTTAATCCTGGGAATTGAACCCAGAACCTTAGCAATGAGCTGCCCCTTCCCTTTGTGACAGTCTGGCTTAAATTTACAGTTCTTCTGCCTCATTCTCTGAGAGTGCTGGGATTGTGGGCATGCTCCCTTGCATGTGGCTTGTATTAGTTTCCTATGGCTCTTATTACAGACTGCTAACCTAGTGGCTCAAAGCAACACTCATTTACTAGCTCATAGTTCCATAGGTCAGAAGTACAGGCTGTGTTCCTCTCTAGAGGTTCTGAGGAGTAATCCACTGCCACGCTAATTCATTTAGTTGGCTGAGCCTAGTTCCTTGCATCTGTAGGACAAAGCCCTTGTTTCCTTGCAGCTTGCAGCCCAAGGCTTGAGTGCTCAACATCAGAGGCTGCCTCCTCTTAGACCCTCTATTTCTAACTCCAGCAGTGGCCTTGTCACATGCCAGATTCCCTCCTGCTTCCAATCTTGGGTTTCCTGTTGTCTTTTTTTTTTTTTTTTTTTCTTTTCCACACATGCTAGGCAAATACAGCCCTTTTTAAAATTTTGAGACAGAGTCTTACCGAGTTGCCCAGACAGGTCTTAAACTTGCAATGTTACTACCTCAGCCTCATAAGTAGTTGTAATTATAAGTGTAGGCTGCTATGCCCAGTGTTCTTTGTGCAAGTCAAAATGACATCTGTACAATATTATCCATTTATAGTAGCAAAACATTGTAGACTGCCACAAGTTCTTTAATAGGAGAATCATCAAATTGTGGTGTTTACACATAGTGAAGTCCTGTAAAGATATTTAAGAAAGGAACAATACCACATCTACTGAGATGACAATATCTAAGATATTTCAGTGGAAAAAGCAAAGAACTGAACAGTGTATATGTGATCCTTTGTATAAAGATAAAAAAATATAAATTTGTATGTGCATAGAATATCTCAAGAAGGGGCTTGGGAGATAGCTCAGTAGAATAAGCACCTGCCTGGTGAGTGCAGGGTCCCGAGTTCAATCCCTGGTACCTGTGAGGGAGGGGGGAATCTCAGGAAGATCACGTAGGGAAAAAAATGGCTAGAGAATAGCGATAGGAGAAAGACTTGTTTTTGAGCACGTTGTGTTTACCTTTTTTTTTTTTGGTGGAACCAGGGATTGAACTCAGGTTCTTGCGTTTGCCAGGCAAGCACTTACTCTACTGAGCTATCTCCCCAGCCCGTGTTTAACTTTGAGTTGTGTCTTCATTATGTATAATTGATCTAAAAATATTAAGAGAAAAAAAACCTTGGTCAGGTTGGACATGGTAGTACTTGTCTGTAATTCAAGCACTTTAGAGGCTGAGGCAGGAGCATCACTGCAAGTCTGAGGTTCGCCTGGGGTACATAGTGAGACCCTGTCCCCAAAGTCAAGCAGCAAACTTGGTCAAGCTGAATATGGTAACAGATACCTATAATCCCACCGACTTGGGAAGCTGGGGCAGGAGGATAGCAAGTTGAAGGCCAGTGTGGACAACTAGTGAGACCACCTCAAAATAAAAATGGCTAAGGATATAGTTTAGTGGTAGAATGCTTTTGTGAGGCCTAGCATTCAGTTCCCACTTTGTCTCGGGGGACAAAGAAAGTGTGGTCAATTTGACAGTTAGAAAATTTAAATCTGGCCAGGTGTGGTGGTGCATGCCTATAATCCAAGCACGTGGGGAGGCTGAGGCAGCAGAATCACCGTAAGTTTGAGGCTAGCTTGGGCCACATAGTGAGTTCAAAGCCAACGTGAACTGCATAGTGAACCCGTTTAAAAAAACTTACAGGCGGGGAGATGGCTCAGTACAATAAGTGCTTGCCCGGCAAGCACAAGGTCCACATCTACAGTTTATCCTCATTTTAATGTGTATTTATTTGTGAGTTTGTATTGTCTTCTGAGACATGGTCTTGCTATGTCCTGGCTGGTCTCACACTTGGGATCCTCTTATTCCAGCCTTCTATGTGCTAGGATTACAGGTACATGCCCTCACACCTGGCTTCTAATTTTTCAGAGAAGATAGGGTATTTAGCTACTTTGATCCCAGTTGGGCTGAGAGTTTAATTGAACACTTCCTCCCTGCTAATAATAAGGGAAGCTGCCAGGTACTCAGATTGGTGCAGAAAGAAATCTGGAGAATTAATGTGGTGTCTTCTACCATGACTGTTGTCATAACATGGGAAGAGTGGTGGGCAACTGAGCGTCCCTTGCTCTGTAACCATCTGTGACTCTCTACTCCTCAGTGGCTGGACCTGCACCTGCAGGAGAATGTGCCCCCATCTCTGCTGCTGCTCTCTCGCACCTTCTACTTGATAGATGTGAAGCCGAAACCGATCGAGATACCGCAGCATGGTGAGGCAAGTAATGGTTATTACTGTGGAGGCCTCTCCATCATCAAACTTCCTTTTGCGACCTGAAGAGGTGTTTCTTTTGGAATTGGGCCCAACCAACCTTAACATGCTTTTAAGATTCAGTGGCAGAGTGCTGCTTTTAACTTCCCTCCTCCAGAAGGCCAGGGGTAGCCCTGGGGCTGGTTCACCCAGCTTTAAGCAGAAACTTCCCTGCTCTGAGTATCTTTGTTTCTTTCTCTAGTCTTCTTTAGCAGATTTCTCCTTGCTGTAACCACTTTTCCTTTTGAACCACCTGGTTCCTACTCTTTTATATCTTCCTTCCCCAGATTCCTGTTAGGTTG